ATTTTTAACTAGCTTTCGCCCGCGACTCCGTCCGCGTGTTATTGAAAAAACAAAGGTAAATAGCCTATGTGTTCTTCCAGACTATCCTCTACATCTATGCCAAATTTCATCGAAATCCATTCAGCCGTTTTGGCTACAAACTCTAACAAACATCCATCTATCCATCCATCCATCCATCTAAACTTTCACATTTATAATATTAGTATGAAGTATGATCTAATAAAAGTATGACTTTGAAGTTGTAAAAATGTCGCTCGTCTTTTTTTTAACAGACGAGTAATAAAATTCTTTCGACACAAGTGAAGGTAGAAAGTGAATAGTATTTTTTAAACATCATAAAGACGTCGTGATAAGTCTAGTATGCTCAGATTTTATTAATGTTATACTACCGTACCCACAGTCGTTTAAATATTAAGATCGCGGGCACATCTTTGACTAAACTAACGCACAACTATTTAGTCGCGCTTTGATTCCTATGAGCGTTTATGGTACACACTACTCAATTTTTAGTTGTGCAACTAAACAGTTGAATTGGCTGCGAAACAATCGCACAACAGTGCGATAGTCTAGTCAAAGGTGACCGCTCTAAATGAGCATATAGTTCTCTAATTCTGCCCTGAATTTATAAAGTTTGCGGTACAATAGACCAAGTTCCCCCAACTTCCTTTAATTTCTATTTATGTCGCTGACTGTACTACATTAAGATTCCAGAGAAGGCACTTCATCGATATTCTAAAGCTTTTGATGAGATCCCGATCTTGTTTAACATTCCACCAACGATCTGCGGTATATCAGTAACGATAAAATATACGTACCTAACATAAATAAACAAAAATTTGAAGCCTAAAGAAATAAATAAATGACAGAAATTTTAATGTTTAACATTAATAACTTTCGTACTTTTTACCTACAAGTATATGAGTATTAGGGTAATAGCACCAATAATAGACAGATAGAAAAATAAATGCAAAAGGTTATGTTAGGTGAGAAGAAAAGCGTATGACAAAGAAATTAACCACGTATAGAAGAATAGACAAAAGGAATTTATTCTGTAAACGGCAATGAACAAGTAAGATGACTTACTACTAGAATGAACTCTTTGTTACCTATTGATGTAAATTTTCTTGAAATACCTTTTCGTATCAGGTATCTATAAACACGATAACTGCAGCAAGTAAAATTTAAATTCTTCATCTGTTGCAGCGGCGGGCCGAAATGCGCCCCCAATGATAATATAGCCAGTGCGTGGCAGGTCTTTTTAGACCCACCAGCACTAGCATAGATTGAATTGCTACTTTGTGGAAACATGTAATGTATACACCTGAGATAATCGTTTCGTTTCGAGAGAGACATAGTTTCCTTAGTCTACACCAGCTATAGCGGCAGGCCGATATCGGCCTGTTACGTAGTGAATGCGTTAACTTTAGTATGAAAAAATTATACGTACATGTTCGTACTTTTGCTAATTCTAAATTAATTTAGCACGTCTGCGAAGAGGCGTCGGGTTGACGTCACCGTGTCAACACAATGACATTGACCCGGAGGCTGTTGAACCGACCGCTACAGGTTTTTTGGCAATACATACGTGTAACGCGATACATCGCCTTCAGCCTCTTTGTGTGTCATTTACTAACAATATACGTTGACAGGACACTTCATAATAATTTGATGCCATCTCGAGAGCAAAAACTTTTAAAGACAGCTGTGCTTCTGTTTTTTATTGACATTGTGACAATCTCAATGCTATTGTCAGCGATCTTTTGTGGCGGAGAATGTCAGATAGTAATTATGTATGTGGTAAAAACAGAATGGATTGCGTTAAAGGTGACATGATCAGAAGGATGTGACGAGTGAAATGACAGCAGACCAACTGTATCAAAACCTGGTGCGCCTACCTCACTTAGTGTAATAAGAGAACGATGATAAACAAAAAATATAGAAATCGTACTAATATTATAAATCCAAAAGTTTAGATGGATGGATATTTGTTAGAGATTGTAGCCTAAACGGCTGAACGGATTACAATGAAATTTGGTATAGATGTAGGAGAGAGTATCAAAGAACAAATAAGCGCTTTTTTTTATTCCACAAGGACAAAGTCGCGGGTGACAGCTAGTATAAAATACAACTATACAACGCTTTATCTTAAACACGTACCTTTATTTGGGGTACACGATCTTTTTTGGACTAAAAATAAAATAAATCAACAGATTATATCCGAAAGAGTTACGTTATGACCCCATCTTTATAAATTACAACTCAATGTTGCCAACCGTTGTAGATAAAGTCTTAGTTTTACCAATGTGGTAGAGTACAATCTGTTTATGGTTTTCAATTATTCTTTGCTTTATTCTGATCGATCTTTTACAAATATCAAGTAAATAAACTCGGTTATTAAGTTGGCACGTGATTCAGAAGAGTACTATCGTTATCGATGTGCCAAATCAAATGGCGAGTAGAAAAAACAATTGCCAATCTAACTGTACACTTAACACAAACATACAAACTGTGTACTGAATGCTGTTCACCTATCAATTAGCATTGATATGATAAACGTTGTTTGTACTCAATGGTAAGTAGGCTTTTAAAAATATAGTTCCGAGAAGCCAACAAATTTATATCCTAACTGAAATCCGTATAGAACATATCACTATCTCATATTATTGAAAAAGAATGAGCGAGATAGCAGCATTTTTGTTCCGATTACGAAGTACTACGGTTATAACTTAAAGGAAGAATTTATGTCTTACTAGCTGTTGCCCGCGACTCTGACCGCGTGGAATTAAAAAAAAAACAAAAGTGAGTATGCCTATGTGTTTTTCCAGATTATCCTCAACATCTATGCCCAAGTTTTATCGAGATCTATTCAGAAGTTTAGGCTACAAACTCTAACAAACATCCATCTAAACTTTCGCATTTATAATATTAGTTAGATTACATGATAACCTTCATTATGAATACAAATATCTTTTTATGATAAAAACATTGGTTTTATGTGAGGCTAAAGTTCTTAAACTGTACCCTGAACATTAATTATATCTTGTTTTTCAATTGGAAAATAATATTAGCGATAATCTTTTACCTTAAAAATATTTTTTAAGAAGCAACTTGTTTTATGTGACGGATCGCTCCTTAAACTTTGTGGTTAAAAAACTTATATTTTCAGATGATTATTTTTGGTCAAGCTTTTTTTATTGACAATACTAAAAAATGACGTAATCTTACTAGTATTATAAATGCGAAAGTTAGAGGTTTGTTAAAGTTTGTAACCTAAACAGCCGAACGGATCTCATTTAAATTTGACATAGACGTAGAGGATAGTCTTGTTACTCTTACCGCCCCCTTGTAAAATCAATGATCTTTCAGCGCCCCCCATTTTATACAATTTTAGTGAAATTAAAAATACTATTTATAATAAATGAAATTACAAATTATGCATCGCCTAACCCATAACAACGCCCCCAATTTTTTCTGGGGCCCTATAACGTACCCCTATAGGTTTCAAACGCCCCCCAGCGGGCGTTATCACCCACTTTGAGAAACAATGGTTAGACTAACATATAGGCTACTCACTTTTGTTTTTTCTAATTCCACGCGAACAGAGTCTAGTCAGAAAGCTACTTACCAATAAATAAATAGGTTACAATAGACCCAAGCGAGTTCAAATAAGGTTTTACGCGAATTAAGACCTCAACTTGCATTCAATACCAAATAGAGCAATGGTGTAAACTTGCCCGTTCTCCGACACGCCTAAAACGTGCACATTCTTAAACGGAAATATGCTACCGAGATATTGTGAATTTCGACACTTTTAAATATCACTTATTGTCCTGCTATCAATCGACCACATCTTCACTTTGGTCTAGGTGGGATAGTGGTCAAGCGCTGGTTTATAAATGAAAAAAAAAGATTTCTACTGTAAATAGGTGTTTTGTTGACGTAATATATGCTAATATAATAAAGCGTAAACACACACTTCTTTGTTGCCTAAGATGTCAGCAATTACACCATATTTTTGAATAATTCTTTTTTTTTAATAAAAAGCCCTACACTTGCGTCACGCTTTAGACTAGATTAAACTTAGGGGTCAATATTTTCGATATAATCCCTAATGTTGGAAAGAAACAATAAGTTGCTGCCAACATGAAGGAATCTAGGTTGCCATGGTTTGACATCATGTCATAGCATTTTGACGTTTGCAATTGATAATTTGATAAATGTAAACAATATTATGAAATTTTTATAATTTCATGCGGATGACGCCGCACGGAAACAGCTAATATATGATATAGATAGAACCTAATTAAGGTCATATCTTGTAGGCTGTAAGGCCAGATTGTTTATTTAAATTCGCAAACAAACCAATCGTGTAACTGAGGTAGTTGTTGAAAGGTCACGTGCCATATGGTCGACCAGTTGACCTCGTATACACATCAATGAAGTTTGAACTCCTGTTCCGGTAAAACTCTACCAATTTACTCCATTCAAACTTAAATAAAACTTATCATAAAGGCTTATTTATAGAAGGATTTTAATTATTATTGAATTAGTAATAATTATTAGGTGACATCATCTATCAGAATTATTATAAGTGTGTCTTTGTCATGTCGTCAAAACATCTTAATACAAGGAAGTACGTCGGTGACTCAGAGGTTAAGCATTTCATTTGTATTCTTCAAGTCCTGGGTTCGGTTCCCGCCATATAACAATATGTTTTTCGAATGACTGCGGTGGTTTCCTTCACCGTAAGAACGTCAGGAGATATCCACTTGGATATCGGAAGATTTTTTTAATCTAGAGGATGAAAAAATGGTGCCGGATAAAGACGGGGACATGATTACTTTAAAATAGATCAATATTAAAGGGTAATAGAAAATGTACCAATAATACAAAAATCTTAATTTTAAACTCCTCTTGATTTGTTAGAAAATACAAATTTATAAAAACGTATCGTAGTTTGGGTGTTCAAGTTTTAATTCATAATGTATATTATGTTCCAGGCTGAAAGATACCGCGAGAGACGTCGCTTAGCAACCCCGAGTCCTACACCATCCCCTCCCCGGCGTCCTCCCGCGCCACAACCCGCTAGTGGCAGCTGGTTCAAGTCTCTAGATAGGATTGGCAAGAAGAGAGAAAAGAGTGTGAATAATAGAGTAAGTATTAATCTATCAACTTATTCAACTATCAATCAATTAATTCAACTGTTTAAAATAAGCTCATTCTAATCAAAGCGAGATGTAAACAGTCGTGCGATAGTTTAGTCAAAGGTGTGCGCGCGCTCAAAAAATGCAGACAAGTCGACAGATTGAAAGTTGTAATGTTACCAGTTGTATTCGCATCAAGCGTCTAGTTGCTCACTGGTTTCCCCGTAATATTATTTACTGTCTACATAAATGCATGCGTAAGATATATCTATACTTTTAGAGCGCGCGTACACCTTTGACTAAACTATCGCACAACTGTTCAGTCGTTTTCGATGAGCTTATGTAAAGGTGCGCACACTACTTGATTTTTAGTTGCGCAAAACAGTTGAAACAATCGACAATATCACAAGTGTTTTGCGATTGTCTAGTCAAAGGTGTACGCCAGCCTTGTATACACATGTAAACACTAGATTTCGCCCGCGACTCCGTTAGCATGGAATTTAAAACAAAGTGAGTAGCCTATGTGTTCTCTCTACGTCTATGCCAATTTATAGATCCGTTCAGCTTTTCAGGTTACAAAGTCTAACGAACATCCATCCAACCATCTAAACTTTCGCATTTATAATAATAGTAGGCAGATTCTCAATTTACATTATAGTTACAAACATATTTCAAATTCCAGATTGAGAAAGACAGCATCATAACAACAGAAGATGAATCATCACGTCGCGTGTGGTCCAAACCGAGCAAACCTTTAAACTCCCCAGCGAAAAACCTCCGCTTCTTCGGCGACACGGATCAAGAATCCGAAACCAACAAACACACAGTCACAAAAACAAGAAGTCATCCGCAATCGAAAAACCATACAACACTAAGAAAGACAATCTCCAATTCCAGTACTGGGTTAGACGAAGTCGATTGTGAACTATCGAATAAAAGCTATTCGATGTCGAATTTACACAGAGGCGAAGTGAACGAATCTCGCAAACACTATAAAAGAAATCTTCAGAACATATCAGAGATACAAAGTAATTCGGAAACTGAGAGTCAGTTCGATAGAAAGAGGAACGGAAAGCCTCCAATACCAGCTCCCAGTCCTTACGATAGATCTAGAAGTCACAGCAGTACAAAAACTTTGAAAGCCAGTAAGAATGATATTAAAAGGCACGCGAGAGAAGATAGAGGAAGTTCTGAATTAAGAAGCAGTAAACATGATATAAGCAGAGATGTCAAGTACGTCGAATCATTTAATTTTCATTATTGTAACACGAGATATTGCTGTCCGTTTCATCCACACTTACTCATAATAAAAATAAAATAGACGTTTAAAAGCCAAAACACGACAATTCATCTATACTCTATATAAACACATACTATTTTAGCCGCTTACGTCACGCTTTAGGCAATATATTCTCACGCTATTAAACTTATATGGTAAATAAATTGGATTAAAACACTTATGTGGGAAAGGGACCCTAAGCTACAAGCTGCCAACATCAAGGATTAAGATTGCCATAGTTTGTCATCAAGTTATATCACTTTTACATTTGCAATTGATAATTAGACAAATGTAAACAATAAAATAAAATTTTATAAATTCATGCGGATGAAGCCGCACAGGAACAGCTAGTAGTTTATAAAACAAGCGAAAATTGGGTATGTCTGGTTTGCGAAATAAAAAAAAGGATTAAAGCGCATTTACTTTTATATTCAAGTATTTATCATAGAGGGTTAATAAAAACCCTCACTTTTAGTCCAATTAAAGATATCGCTTGCTATCGATTTTCAATTGGTACCAAAAACACATGTTTCTTTGTATTTCGATATCTTATTAAATACAGCCTTCACCCTCCGTCTCCATCCGCGTGGAATTAAAAAAACAAAAAGTAGCCAATCTGTTCTTCCAGACTATCCTCTACATCTACGCCAAATTTCATCAAGATCTGTCCAGCTGTTTAGGCTACAAACTATTAAACATCCATCCAAATTTTATTTATATTAGTAAGAAGATAACATACTTATGTCCAGATCTCGTCGACGAACGCCGTTAACCAACTCAGGTGAGAGCAGCACAGAAGGAGAGTCCAGTCATCAAAGTCAACACAGCGTTGTTTATTTGCACGCAACTACTGGTATGTCCACCTTATACTAGTCAATTATTTAGTAACTAGCTCTCGCACGCGACTCCGTCCGTGAATTAAAAAACAAAATTGAGTAGCCTATGTATTCTTATTTTGCATCTATACCAAGTATATCCTATACTTATCTGAATTATTTCCTAATAAATATTTGTTACTGATAACTGATTGTTCAAATCAAAAAATAATCAAAAGATAAATTGGGATCAGTACTAAAAGATAATAAAGGAAATTCGAATATAGAACTAGTCTGTGGCATTTATAAAAGTTCTTACAGATTATATTCCAAATTTCATCGAGATCCGTTTAGCCGTTTATACGGTAAACTCTAAGAAACAACTATTTATCTAAACATTTATAATATCAGTAAGATATCACTGATTATCTATAAATCGGTAAATCTTAATAAAAACTTGTTATCTGTTCGCTAGTCTTAAAACATTTTCCTTTTAACTTGAAACCATTTCCAGTTGGAGATATCCCAGACCCTGGTCGTTTAACACGCAATCGATCCAGAGACGATGTGTCATCCGTTATGTCATCCAACATACAAGTACGCAGCACAACTAAAAGCTTCTCATTATTCGCACCATGGACACCAAAACACTACGAACAGGATGTACACTACGAACAAAGACCCAAAAAGACCAAACAGAACTATAAAAAGACAAAAGATGAACCATCCTTACAAAAGAACAGATCGTATAGTCAAACGACATTAAACAAAAGACCACAGAGTCAAAATAGATTAACAAGCTCCAGTACTACATTATATAGAAATAAAAGAAACGGAAAAGAGAACAGCGAAAGTACACGTAAAGGACAGAAAAGTCAATCAAATGAAATGTTGAATAGAGATGAAAGAGTCTCCCGTTCGATATCAATGCCTAAAGATCAAAATAAAAAAGCTGGCTGGTTTAAATTATCTAATAAAAATAAAAAACCAGAAATCAATACGCGTGTACGTTAATAAAACGATTCTGGCACTAAAGAAAATACAATAAAGGCCTGTCACACCACTGGCTGATAGAGGCTCAGATAGCTTAAAAACGTCACTGTAGGGAACAAAATCCGATATTACCATATACTTACACGTTGGATTGTTATCAGACAATTTACAATTTGGTGGGACAGGCCTTAAATGTGTTATTTATATAATAAACCATGGATCAAGAATATTGATATCTTTGCCTGGGGGTGATTTACTTTATTACATCACTTTTTATTAAGCAATGAATTTTAATCCATATTTTTTATATATAAAGGGTTGTAGAAACGTTTTTTTCTAACCTTTTATATTATTTAAACTAAACTATAAAATCAAGTTAGTACTAATTAGATACACTACAATGTATAAAATGTTTGTTGTCATCATTAACTTGCCCTTATCCCTTACGGAGGGTCGGCACAGTATGTTCTGCTCTTCCATACATCTCTATCAGCCGTCATATGTATTGTATGAAAATAAATATACATTAAAAATAATATACATAGATTACAAATATATTGTTAACAATAATCTATAAAATCTTTTTAAAGTTTAACTAAAAGTAATCAGAATAAAGAAAATTAAAATAACTATTTAATAGTGCCATCAATTTTCTTAATAAATGTTACCATGTTTAGAAATAAGTACATATGTATTGTAACAATATTTGCTTTTAATTCACTAATGTTAAGAAGAAAATATTTTTAATTATAAATAAATAACCATGTGCATATTTTACATAAATTTATTTTGCTTATAAGATCTCTGAATATCAGATTTTTAACAAAATAATGTTAGCTTCTAAGAGTTAGTGTTTATGGTGACGATTGTGGAAAGAATAATGAATAAATATGAATAAAATCCTAATTTTAAATAGGTATTTCTTTTTATGAATCTTTTCATGTAATTCTGAATTCCCTCCCCTTTCCCTTTTTCATCATATTTGTCAAATTTTACCAGGAAATTCAAAAGAATAAAAATCTAAAGTATGTTTGTTTAAATATTGAATGAAAAATAAACAAAAGAAACCGTGACAAAATGCCTAAAATTAATACTAAATGCCCCTGTCGTTAAATAAGAGCAAATATACAGAAAGAAAAAATAATGTAATATTTTTGTGCCGTTTGTAATTTTATGAAGTGTCAATTTCACTTATGGGTCACAATTAAAAGGTAATTAAATTTATAAATAAAATACAGTTTTATGTTTACATATTTTATTAAAAATCAGTCTTATAAAATAAACATTTAAACTTGTTCAAGCATAAAAAGCAAACCAATAAATACGCAAAACAGAATCGGTGACAATGAAAAAAAAAATGTTTTTACAATTCACATTTTTCATCACCAGTGCACGATCCCTTTGATTTCTCACCGGAATCAGCTCTAAGTGGCCCTGTTTTAGTTATCGGCACAACTCTTTCACCTTTCGCATCGATTTCTTTACGTGGCGCAGAAATAATTAAGACCCCATCACTAGATAACTGTGATACAACATCCTCAGACTCAGTACCTTCTGGTAAAGCGTATTTACGAACGAATTGTCTAGAAACAAACCCATGTTCGTCTTTCTTCTCTTCGTGTTTAGCTTCAATAACCACGTAACCATCTGCAGTCTTCACAGTTATCTCTTCTGGCGCGAAATGCTGTACATCTAAATTAATATGGAACTTGTCTTTGTCAATCTTTACCGTCGATCCAACGTCTCGAGTAAGAGACTCCAAATATCTCCAAGGACGAAAGTAGTTGTTAAACATCCAAGGACTTACCATAGACGTAAGTATATCATCAGACAAACCTAAACCAAAATCTTGTTCGGATATCGTGTTTTTTTGAGAGCATTTCTCTTCACCGTAAACACCGATAACCAAAAGCGTTGATACTAACACCGAACTCACCAAGAATCTCATTTTTGCGTATTTCTTCACGGGAATAGCGTTTAAATAATTATTTCTTCGCACCAAAATTCTCTCGAACACTACGTATTGACAAATAACGCGCCATATTCACGTTCGCGCGGTTTATATACTCCTTCGGCCATCTAGCGGTTGGTAGCAATTTCTCGAAAACCCTGACGTGTGCTATGAAACTGGGTCAGACTTATGCCAATGAGTAGATTTTTCCAGTAAATTCTAATCCTTTACTTATCGTTACATTTTATCATATCATGAGCATGTCGATCAGTCATTTTCGTAATCTTTTATAATAATTAGTTAGAAAAATAAAATAATCGATGATTGATAAAACAACGACATCTATTGCCGAGGTACTGAAAATATTATTTAAAGTATTGCTGCGTTCAGAATTTTCTACCGTAATGTCTAGAACTCTCGGGAAAGTAGTGAACATACTGGCATACTGTAAATGGTCTGTCCTTTAGACAGGAACCACACGTTTCTTATTTTAAGGAAATATTATTTCGACTACTAATAGGGAATTGACCGCCGTTCCTTCAGATCGTGATTTTTAATCTTAAATTATTATAACAAATATAAACATTATCTTATATTATAATGTTTATTTTACGTGCCGGAATTAAAAATAGAACTCCGATGCCGGGATGTATTTATTTGTGGAAAAGAGCCGTATTAGTATGAATGCTGAATCATAACTGAAAACGAGGTTTTGGAGTTATAAAATTAGATTCGGTTAAAAAAATGTTAATTCAATTATTACACTTTTTGGTTCGTTAAAACAACGCCCATCCCTATCTCTCTGACAACCCATTGACATCTTTTACTTGTCAATTGTCACATGGAAAAGTTAAATTAATTTGTAAATACAAATTCAGTTTTCTTTTACTTTTAGTTTGAATTAAAATGGGACGAAAAAACCGCAATGTTAATAAATTTGCTCAACGTAAACGAGATCAAAAGGAAAAGGTAAAAAAATTGCTAACCCTGTATATTGTAAACGTATACAAGAATTTAAAGCAATATTTTGTATGCGTAGGCAAAGAATCCTCAAGACAAACCTGCGGAAGATACACGTAAACACTATGAAGATATTGTAAGAGAAAATGCAGCATTTGAGGAGTATTACAAGGTATGTTTCATTCAAATTTTTCAAATTACTCTAGATGTATTTTATAACCTCTTATTGGTTTTAGTTTATTATTTATTATCGTATTATAGGAGAATTTGTGTGAAATTGTCAGCCGCCATATAATTGTCAATATTATTTAAAAATTATAATTAGTAACTTTTGTATTTTCAGACACAAAAAGTATGTCCGGAGGAACAATGGTCAGAGTTCATGGGGAGTTTAAAGGAGAACCTCCCAACAGCATTCAGAATAACAGGCTCTAAGGCTGAGGCGAATGCATTATTGAATATTGTAAAAAGTGAATATTTCTCAAAATTATTAAATGTGAAGATTGAAAATGAAGAGAAAGGTGTAGAAGAGGAAATTAAACCTATAAGCTTACCATGGTGTGTATACACTTATATTAAATCACTATTTCATAATTATAAAATGTGTTTGGGTATAAAATGTCTTTTTAATAATGCAATATCACAACCACAATGAAGACAAGTAGCTAATAGAAGCAATTTCGCATACAATGTTATAAGTGTGTGTGCTGAAGGCCTAATTTTAGTCCTTTTTTCCTTTCCTATCCTCTTATTAAGGAAAGGGTGAAAAGGGAAAGTGGATTTGACAGAGATAGGGATGCATGGACAAGGAAATATCCTCTAACTGCATTCCATGCCCCATTGATTAAAGGTAGGCAAAAATCTACTTTTGCAAATGTCTATGGCCAGCATTTATCCTCTATCTGCAAATTCAGGTCTCTAAAGGCTTGTATGCCTTATAATAGAAAAAAATCCTATCAATTTCTTTTTTAATGTACTTTTAATGCTCCAACTCTTTCAATAAATTTCAAATTAAACATGATTTTGTTAAACTTCAATAGCTTATGATTTAACACCAAAATTCTCTTACCAGGTATCCCGGTGGCATAGCATGGCAACTTCGTCTATCCCGTACAGATATCCGCAGAAATGAACCATTGTACAAGCTGCATAACTTCCTTGTAGCGGAGACAGCGGCTGGTGGAGTGTCACGACAGGAGACGGTGTCAATGATCCCACCTGTGGTACTCGATGTCCAACCTCACCATAAGGTAAAGTTAACATCCTGTTTGATTTTGTTGTGATGTGACAGTTATTGGATTCATTTATTCTGATTTCAAATTAGTGGAAGGTAGTTAAAGTACACTGGAGTAACTTATCTATGCTATATCTGTACTAATATTATAAAGAGGAAGTAATTGTATTTTTCGATTTGTTGTATTCACGTAAAATCTACTGAGGGGATTTAATTTTTTTTAACCAATAGTAAGGTAATTTATCTGTTAATAAAATAGGCTATATTATTATTTCAAGAGGGGCAAGCTTACGTAATATAATAAAGATTTGTTATGTAGGAAGTCAGCAATCACAGTATATTTTTGAATAATCCTATTTTTAAGAACAGGCCCTACTCTTACGACTAACTTGAGGCTTAATAATTTCAATGATTAAACTTGAAAGTTAAGTAAATAGTAAATAATTGCTTTGTGAGAAAGGACAAAATAGTATAAGCCGATAGTAGCAAAGAATCATAGTAGCCATGGTTACCTTAATTCTTAGCCAGTAGCAAGACCCTTCATTGTCATTAGTGCATTTGAATATTGACAATTTAAAGTTTTTAACAATAAAATAAAGTGTCTATGATGTCATGCGGATGAAGCTGCATGGGAACAGCTCGAAATGCAATAAAAGTCCTAATATAAATAAAGATTGAAATATTTCCAGCCTTACAAATAAACGCGGTATAAAGCTAAACCTAGGAATAATCTGACGGTACAAATTTTGCTTATACTCAGTTTATTCCGAAGTTTAAATTTAAACCGCGTTTATTTGTAAGGCTGTTAATGTTTTGGTCATAATTCACTTGAAAGTTGTGTAATCTCTTCCAGGTATTAGATATGTGTGCAGCGCCAGGATCGAAGACAGCTCAGCTGATAGAATTTTTACATGCAGATGAAGAGAAAGTACCAAGCGGTAAGAAAATTTTCTTCATGTGAGAAAGGCTACCTTGTTTAAAAAGTTAATGGGAACAGAGGATAGTTTTTTTTGTTTTTTTAATGATTATCCCAAATGTACAGTCGCGGAAATTCGCGGTGTTCGACTTACAGAAAGAGTGTCTTGTATCTTATGATGACATAAGCTCAAAAAAAGATTATTAACCGGCCTGTTTTCGTACACACATTTCATCCTATTAATTAGTTCCCTGTCATCTCAATGCCTACAAAACGTTCAAGAGACTAGCTATCTCGATACATCGCCAGATTTCTCGATTGTACTTTCTCCCGCAACATCAAAATGGCATTATTCAAAATGTAATTTTTTTACAAGGCAAGAAATTTAAGTTTTTAAATTTATTTAAATCATTTTTACGTTTAAAATTTTAAATTTACACAGAAGTGTTCGTATTATTTTCATCATCCATATAAAAGTTTTTTTACCAGTATGCTATTTTTAGTAATAATCTGATTTTCCGAAAATTTTGATTTTTTTTCTATTGATGATATTAATATTATGATGAATATTGGTGATTACAGGTTTTGTGATGGCGAATGATGTAGACAATAGTAGATGCTACATGCTGGTGCACCAGGCCAAGCGGCTCAACTCACCCTGCATACTCATCACCAACCACGACTCCGCACTGATGCCGGCTCTCATCACCGCTGATGATAAGGTAGCAATCACCAAATTCACGATGTGATAGAATTTAAAATGAATCTTAAAAACAGATAAATCTCATAAATCCGTTTTTATTAATTTATGATAAGTCATTACTAGCTTGCGCCCGCGACTCCGTCAGTTGGAATTTTAAAAAAAACAAAAGTGAGTAGCCTATGTGTTCTTCCAGACTATTCTCTACATCTATGTTGATTTTCATCGAGATCAGTCAGCTGTTTAAGCTAGAAACTTTAACAAACATCCATCCATCTAAACATTCGCATTTATAATATTAGTAAAATGTATGTAATCTATATTCTAGGACCCTACGAAAACAAAGCCTTTGAAATTCGACCGTATTCTATGTGATGTGCCGTGTTCAGGAGACGCGACTCTCCGTAAGAACCCTGATATTTGGCTCAAATGGTCCACGGGGAATGGAAATAATTTACATGGGTATGTTTTATAACTTAAAGATATTTATTACCAACTAGTTGTTTGCGTGCGACTTCATCCGCGTAAAATTATGAACATTTTATTTTATTGTTTACGTGTGTCAAAATGTCAAAACCATGGCGAACTTGCTTCCTTAATGTTGGAAGCTTGTAGTTTATGGTCCCTTTTCCACATGAAGGTTTTTTTAATTACCTTACCATCTAAGTATTCGCGTGAAATTATATAACCTAAAGCGTATCGTAAGTGTAAGGCTTTTTATTATAGAAAGAGTTATTCAAAAATATACTGTAATTACTGATATCCTATGCCACAAAGTGTGCGTTTAAACTTTATTATATTAGTACTAGCTGTTCCTATTAGGCTTCATCCGCATGAAATTATAAAAACTTTATTTTATTATTTACATCTGTCAAATTCTCAATTGCAAATGTCCAAATGACATGACATGACAAACGTTGGCCATCTTGCTTCCTTGATGTTGGCAACAACTTATGGTCTCTTTCCCACATTAGGGTTTTTATCCAAAATATTTACCCCCTTAAGTTTAATGGCGTGAAAATATATAGCCTAAAGCGTGACATAAGTGTAGGTCTATTCATTAAAAAAAGAATTATTCAAAAATATGCTGTAATTATTGACATCTTAGGCAACAAAGAAGTGTCTGTTTACCCTTTATTATAATAGTATAGATAGATGAAAATGAAAATGTAGTTAACAAAATTAATAATCAACTGGCAATGTTAAACCGCTATCTAATTGGTTTATTGTAAGAAAATGTGGGGTTTTTTCATTGCAAGGAACTTCCACTTTCTCTAAGTGTATCACCGCGGGTTTCCTTGACTGTACATTTTTCATCAGTATCCAGTACCGTGTGCTCCGTCGTGGCTGTGAACTGCTGGAGGTAGGCGGTAGACTGGTGTACTCCACGTGCTCCTTTAACCCTGTGGAGAATGAGGCTGTGGTGCACCGTCTGCTGCAGGAGACCGGAGACAGTGTTCAACTGGTGGATGTCTCCGATATGCTGCCAGGGTTGAAGTTCCATAAGGGTGAGTGATTTAAGTTCTTAGGCGAATTTCAGTAGTATTTTTTTATCTGCATGTACCAATATAAACAAAAACAGACTTCTTATGTATGTTATTAGATTTTTTTTTTTCAATAAGTTTAAATAATTTAATTGCAACGATATTTGAAAGTGAACAGCTTCTTCTATACTTATGTTATAAAGAGGGAAAATTTGTATTTTTTGTATGTATTGAAATAACTCAAAAAGTACTGGGTCGATATTAAAATACATTAATGTTATCACTAAGTACAACATAATATTCTTACTATTTTTTTAATTTTATGCGGGCGAAAGCTAGTAAATGATAAAGCCACTTTTAAACTCTAACGGCCGACTACTGAAACGAATACAATTCGTTTAGTAAACGCTTTGCTTACAATCTGACAGACGTCAAATTTTAATTCAGAATTTAAACGTGGCGTTTTCATTTAAAACGCTGTATTGCCCTTTCAGTATTCGGCCGTAAATATTTTATTGGTAATTCAAGGTATGACACATTGGAGACCAGCTTCAAAGGATATGGTGTTTTATGATAAATATGAAGATGTACCGGAGAAGTGGCAGACCGTGGTCAGACCGCAAATGTTTCCACCGAAACCTGAAGATCTGGAGAAATATAATTTGGACAAATGGTAAGATTTAATTTGTAGGTCTGTGGTTTCTAAACGAAAAAGAAATCTAGGTGAATAAGACTGATTTGATACGAGATGGATGTATGAGAAGGAAAGGGAGGGATGAGAAGACGGAAAGAAAGACGTGTACAAATAAAATAGTAGATAAATTAGAGAGTGAAAAAAAAACCTTTTATTTTGCCCACTACATAAATAATCTCGTTTTTATTAAAATTATGAAAAACAGTCAGAAACCTGTAAAATGTGTGTGATGTTTTCGTACAAGGAAATGGGAAGGGGAAGGAGATTTGGCAGGAGAATTTATAAGGGGAAATATCTTTTTTGTGCGTCCCTACAATAATATTCAATAGAAATGAGAAATCCTTACTATAATATTAAAAATGTAAATATTTGGATGGATGGATGTTTGTTAGAGTTTGCAGCTTAAACTGCTAAAGGGATCTTGATGAAAGTAGAAAAGTGGAGCATAGACTTTAAGAACACAAACTACTTACTTTCGTTTTTTTAAATTCCCGCAGAGTTTCGGGCAAAAGCTGGTTACGCTTAAAACGCTTTAATCACAGACTGCTTAATTTAAGCACAAAAACTTTCCAAAGTAAACATTACTTTTAGTAAATTATAAATGCGAGTTTAGATTTAACAGTGGTAGTGCCCGCTTTAACATGTTAGCACTGCAGGGCCGGCACGCCCGGTGTAGTACCACGACCACACAGAAGACAGGC